ATAAGGGGATTGGTCGCTTGGAACTCGGTCGCCAGCGCGTGGCTGCGGCGAGGGGTTCAGGAGGAAAGCTGTATATGACGTCCTCGCAACGTCGTGGTGATGGCTGTCCGGATATGCAAAGTGAATGCAGGAAACGTGGTCAAGACGCGACCTTACAAACGACACGCGATCCGCTCACTCCCGCTACTTGACGTCGTATTGGTAGCGGTCCACCACCCCTCCTGTGCCGTCCTTCCAAGGCGGGAACAGCGGAGTGCAAGACAGAACCGTGGTGGATTGACAATCGTAATCATGTCGGATTGTTGATCGACTCGGAGGAGCGTTTCATGTTGTACCCGCACCGGAAGGACACTGCTCTTTTCTCACAGGCACGTTGCACATGTCTTCGCTGCTGTTCTCTCTGGCAGAAATAAAGGTCATGAAAAATGTGTGCGTAAAGGGGAAATCGATAGTTTGCAGTGAGGCTGTCTGTGGGTGGCATATGGTCTGTGCTGGACATTTCCGGCTACCTGCAGTTTGGCAGCTGTGGCTTGCTGAACTGACCTGCCACAGCACAAGCCCCTTGCAGCTTGCATCAGTCTTCTCCTTGGCACAACTGCTGTGTTCCGGCTTGCTTCGAGACCCTTTTCTGCTCATTCAAAAAAAATCTCATTTCTCCTTTGTCAACTATCGATCCAACATGAGGCCATATTCCAGCCCCTAGCATTGGACTCTCCGCAGAACGGCCAATCCCCGGCAGGGCGGAGCCCTCAGATGTCGTGGCTACCAAGGTTTATCCTAGCTGCTATCGGAACTATTTTATGGTACCTGGGAGTTCGAAATCTTCTGGAAGCTTTGTCTCCCGCTTTAGCTGAGATGACCTCTCGGCGAATCGTGATGGATCTCTGGAAGATCTGATCGCATCTTGTTCTAGGCTCCCAGATTCGCCAACGACGGTCTTCTCGGTAATCGAAAAATCCACAGAATCGCCGTAGATGTCGCGATGGACAGTCCCGCTGTAACAAAGGGGAGTCCGGCCCAAGCTCCTCCCAGCTCGAGCCCAAGACCAAGGCTCTTCGCTAGAAGAGGGCCGGCTGCCATCATCCCTACGTTCTCCGTGAAACCTATCAAGGTGTTGACGGTACCAACATGATGCTCCTCCACCAAGCTGTTCAGGAGGGACCGAATCACGGACGTAATCCCTGAGCCGAGCGCAAACCAGATCAAACCCACAGAGAAGAGAACTCCATTGGTCGCTCCGGCAATGATTAAACAACCCGCAACTGCGACGACTCCCGACCATCGACCCATCCATATGTCCTTTTCCACTCCCGACATCCCAAGATGCTGAAGACAGAACCAGCTAGCAAAAGGCATCAGGACCAGAAGCGTGACCATGCTGAAAGCATTCCGGATCACGAGCTGAATCGATGCTCTGCTCCAACTCCAATGATACCGTTCTGTGGCATACTGGAGTAAAATCTCCCCGACGAACCTACCAAGAATGACGAACGTCATGGACATGATCAGTAAACCCACGCTCTTGTTCCCAAGAATAAATTCCCAGATCTCTTCCAGCCCGATCTTCGCCTTGTGTAAGAGCTGTTGAACCGCTGATCTCTCATCGTCGCTCTCGTCTTCCAGGCCGGTTGTCAAATCCTTCTTATCATGAAGATGTACCGTCTCCGGGAAAGCCAGGATCAACAAATTGGCAATACCTATGATGATCAGGGACGCCCACAGCGGGATCCACGGGTCGTTCACCATCATGATCCCCCCAAGTGGACCGGCCACCATTTGCGAGCCCAAAAACAGAGCGTTTAGCTGCAAGAAAGCCGTTGCGCGCCCATCAGCGGGAATAACGTCTGCCACAAAAGTGTAAAGCATAGCCACGAGAACGGCGCCGCCACCACCGATGCTAGGCATTGCGTGTGTTAGCCTCGACCCTTATTTCAACCTCATCTTTGATCTTCAGAGATCAGACCTGACTTGATAACTTACAGTTCAAGCGCAGATGACCACCAAAACCACCACAGAGGGACTATATCCGAGAAGTAAACTGTTGTCTATATCAGCCTCCATCCTGCTTCACTTCGAATGGATGCAGATATACTTACAAACCAGATACATAAACCCAACTGACAGCAGACATCCGAACAAACTCAACGCCAGCACCGGTCTCCGGCCCCATCTGTCGGACAGGATCCCATAAGGCACCGCACCGAGGATACCAGGGATGCACTCGAACGTCTGCGCCCACCCTCGCAACATGGCCAGTTCAGACTGAACATCAGGCGACTTGCAAATCGGGTCGTCTATCAGTGCTACTCCCCCGGCAAACTGTTTGATTGGTGAGAGTGGTAACTTCGGGTAATGCTGCCGGCAGATAATGGACTCCATGATGGCGTTTATCGGGGCGACGGTGATGCCTATGCCGAGCTCGATCAAAAACAGGGTGATGAAGGTGAGGATAATCACCCGGGGCCGAATGAGGTTCCGTAGCTCGTCATTTTTGGAGATTGTGGCTGTTAAAGGGGGTTGGCTGTGCTCATCTGGAGTGTGGTTACGACGAGGTGATGAAGGCCTCGGTGAGCCGGCTAGAAGTGGTGTTTCTTCTGTGGTTGTTACGCTTGCTCTGTCGTCATCGTCAGCGGCCATGTTTTGATGGCGAGCAGCGAACCGAATCGCTGCCGAAATAAAAAAAAAAATTGAAGAAACAAGCCACTGATGAATTGCAACAAAATATTAAAAGACGATAATTCAGCTGATGAAAATGAGTGTGCTCTTGAAGAGAGGTCGAAACAAGCTTCATATGACGTGCAGTCAAAACAGGGCAGGGCGATATAAGGCGAGCGGCACGGCGGGTAATATGTCCCCCGCTCTATTTCCGTCCCTTTTCGTCGCTTGAAGCCGAAACGGGCAGGTCAGAGCAGTGAATGCTCATCTGAGCGTCCTGTTAGAATTGCATGAGTTGACTCGTAGGGAGCCGCGCGTTGCAAATGCATGTTAAAATCCCCCGATGGAAGGATGGGTATCACAAGCGAACGCGGCCTGTATTGGTCTTTCTAATGGCCTTATCTGTCCAGTCCTACCGGGAAGCTCCAAATGATTTCTATCATTTTGGGGTAAGAACATTATGTTAACTTAGATATTAAAGAGATACGTCTATATGACGATGGTCTCTGGCGTCTATCACACTGTTTAAGATAGTGGTTTGTCACCCGGATCGCCCATCTAGCAATCCGTCCTACGGAGTAGAGTAGGTACCTCGTTGTAGTTACACCTCACTGTTCGATCTTGTAAACCCAAGCAATTATCATCACTGCAGGATTGATCACTCCACACCAACCGTTTCGGCTCCTCCTGTTGCACACGTTAGGTTCAACGTCAACCAACATTCCCGTCTCCATGTTGCTTGTGAGATCTGGCGGGTGGGTGACGACGACAACGGAAGCACATCCCATGCTTGCTTGCCCCGTACTTCTCGATTCCCTCTCAGAACCCTCGATCTCTCCATAAACAAAAAAACATTTCTGCAACCGCCCTTGCAGGTAGGTATCCGATGCTGGGCATATCAAAGCATACCAGGCTGACCGATCCCGGAGATCCAATCCATAACTCCAGCCGGCACATGACCGGCATCCGAACCATCGTCCGTACTGCGTATATACCTACGTCGAAAAGCTTCGGGAGCAAGAGAACAAACGCATCACACAGCTCAATGCCCTCTAGTCCATCAGGGGTTGGTTCGCATACAAGACAGATATCCCCACCCAGCACCACGATGCCATGTGGTACAGTGGGGTCACAGCGAGATCCTCCCCAAGCTGCGGTGACCCCAGCACCCATCTCTCCTATCGGTCATAAGTGGGGCCGCCGGACCGCAGAGGTGCCCAGAAAGAGATAACCCGTTCACCTCGACTTACACACCGACATTGTCACCCAAAACACCCTCACAAACCACACAACGAAAAAAAAAAATGATAGCAAAATCAGACGAAAGTTATTTCCCACCAGTGCAATCCAAGATGGTTCTGGCACCAGAAAGTGAGGCAAAGCTGATATCCGAGGAGCCCCTAGTAAGTCGTTCCATATCAGCCACCCTCCTCCCTTTAAACAAAGTAAACATTGGGAAATAAAATACCAACACGTATTCCCATGATTATAGCCAGACAGCGAAGCGGTATGGACCAAACTCGTCAGGTAAGTCACGTAAAAAACCACCAACCGACCCTGTAGCAAAATCCTGTGACATCATCATCATCATCACCATCATCATCACCATCAAACACCAAAAACTAACCGTCAAACCCCAAAAAAAGAAAAATCTACCGAGACCCCAAAGGCGTAACGCGAACATGGGAGTCCGCCGAGCGCCGCACCCGGCCCAAAGCCAGCGGCATCGACGGCGTAGGCATCGTCGCCATCCTTGAAAAACCCACCGGCCCGGAAGTAGTCCTCCAAAAGCAGTACCGCCCACCCCTCGACAAGATCGTCATCGAGCTCCCCGCCGGCCTCGTAGACGAAGGCGAGACTGCCGAGGAAGCCGCCGTCCGTGAGCTGAAGGAGGAGACCGGCTACGTCTGCGAGGTCATGGAGTCGTCCCCCGTCATGTTCAACGACCCGGGCTTCACAAACACCAACCTCAAGATGGTCCACGTCAGCGTCGACATGGCCCTGCCGCAGAACCAGAACCTCGAGCCGGAGCTGGAGGAGAATGAGTTCATCGAGGTGTTCCACGTTAAGCTTGCCGATCTGTGGGAAGAGTGTATCAGACTGGAAGCCGAAGGGTACGCGATTGATGCCAGGATAGCGAACCTTGCAGAAGGGATTGAGATTGCAAAGAAGTTCAAGTTGTGAGAGTCGTCAAACGTAATGTTTGTGCAGGAAAAGTAATGTTAATTAAGGGTTTTGGAGCAAGGAGTTCAGGTAGACAAACCATACAGAGTAATACAGATTGCATATTATACTTACTACAAGAACAGTTTTAGTAGAATAATGATCAAAAAGCCAAAAAGGAATGGACGTACCAGGATTCGAACCTGGGGCCTTCTCATGGAGCATTGTAACATTCGATCCTATTTCAGCTGTCTATCACCTTCTAACAGCTGTAAGGACTTTGAACATTCTTTGCAACTGAGACGTCTTGACCACTAGACCATATGCCCTGTTTTTTGTTACTATGATCTCTGGATCTGCATCTTATAAGCTTGACTCTCAGGTTGAACATACCATGGTCACCTGACCCATCCCCTGGACAACAACAACAACACCTCAGTCACGACAACAACAGCAGTCACGACAATAATAGCCCATGGAGTCCCACTACAGCTTCCCTTCCCTCCTCAGCCCCTCCCACAACGCCACCGCCGCCAAAGTCTTCCCATCCCGCCCCCCAACCTTCCACAAATCCTGGATCTTGACCAACCTCAAACTGATCTTCTCCCCATGCTCCCTCAACCCCGTCAACTTCCCCTCCCATTCTTTCAGCTGCTCCCTCGGCACCCTCCTCTCGTGTAAAAACACCGGAATAAACTCGTCACACGCCCCCGGGCTCGGATAAACCCCCGTCCCCAACCCGCCATCATCATCCTCCTCCTCTCCCTCCCCCAGCGCAAGGTGACTCAAATTCGTCAGCTCCTTCTCCGCAATCTTGAGGCCCAACTCCTCCTCAATCTCCTTCGCCGCCGTCCCCGCAAACTCCCCCTCCTCATCCACCATCCCAGCAGGTAACTCCACAAACCCTAGACTCCCCGCTGCGATCCTCGGCTGGACAGTCAGCAAAACATATCTCTCTTCTGTGTCGTCGGAGGTGACATCGTCTGGGATGAGGAAAACGAGCATGGCCACCGACGGCCCGCGGAGAAACACCGCGCCGGGCAGCCGTTCGTCCTTGTCGTTGCGGACGTCGGCTTGGAGCTTGAGGAAGCCTACTCTCGTCGGTCCGAAGAGGTCGAAGGATTGGATGTTGATCGAGTTGAGTTTGTAGGGGGAGGGATGGAACGGGTGGGATGGGGAGGTGGTTTGCTTGGAGAGGGAGGTTGTTAAGGTTGATAGCCAGGACTGTTTTGGGAAGTTAGTGTGGCGCCGATCGGGAGAGGGTGGATGACAGACGTTGAATGGGTGGAAGTTGAGGACTTGGTCTTCCTTCAGACCATTTGGGAGCGTGATGGGAATGTTTGGGTGGCTGGGGTGGTGGAAAGTCGACATTTTGCTTTTCGTGTTGTGAAAGTGGTTGAAGCTGTGAGTTGGTGGACAGAAGCTGAATTTAGAGCTCCAATTTGAGAGTGACGTCGGCGTGAATCTGGCTTGAAGATTTGAAATCAACAGAGGGTGTGTTTTGTGAAGAACTGGCGGGAGAATGGACATGATAAATACCAGACTCCACAAGGCTGCCGAACCCCAGCGACTCATTTGCTACTCGAACTTTGCATTCCTGGTCAACATTGGGATGGCATTTGCATGTGTTATCGCGCTCGGAAAGAACACCTGGATGTGCCTGCCTGCCTGTGCTGACGTCAATTGGACCCCTGGAGCAGGCACGACAAGGGTGGCCCAGGACAGCGGGACAGGGATAGCTGGGTGGCATGTACATACCCTAACCCTTCCCGTAACTCGACTGGGAGCCTTCACGATAAGACATGACCAAAGGGGTGTAGTTCCGGTTGGACTAGTTTAAAGAGGATAACCGTCTCGTGAGCTTGTGGACAATGCCTCTTTATATCTGGAGTCCAAGAAGCAAAAAAAAAAAATTTGACAACACGCCCCTCACACTTATCATTCTTCTCTTCCAAGCACTTTTCCTGCGCGCCGCTGCGTATATCCATCATTCTAGAGTAATATTCTAAATACAGGCTGCTGATTTTCAAGCAACAATACTTTCGTCAGTCCCTGCCAACCCCGGGTTATCCCCAGGCCTCCTCTTACTCGGCCTCCTGCCCAGCTGTGGGATAGGAAAATCCTTGTCCCCTTCATTCTTCTTCTTCCCCTGCGACAAACTCCCCACCCGCTTGAGCAATGACGAACCCGGTCGTACAGTTCCCGCCGCAGTCCCTGGACTAGATACTGGAAGGCCATTCTCGTGCCCTTGTATTCCACCGTCCTGCTCTGACACAGGCCCGACGGCCTCATTCGGAACGGCAACACTCATCACCGAGTCAGCACGCAGTGGCACCACCCGAACAGCTCGCGTGGCCGGACGAGGTGAGACTGAACTCAGGGCGGGCCGATCGTTAGACACTCTTTTGGCAGCACCAACAAACAGATTCCGCTCCCCAGAAACCTCCTTGACGTAGTCTCGTTTTGTCTTCTTCCAGTGCCTCGTCTTGGCCGCCCAGGAAGCCATCTTGTCCAGCATGATGACCTTGGCCAGAAAGCACCCCAGTTTGGCGGGAAACTGAACAAGAGCTCGTTTGGCTCGTTGACGGGTTGTCAGCGGGGTTGCTGTTGCCGGCGGAGGAGGCGGTGGTGATGCTGACATGATCGGCGCCGTTGGCACGGTCGGAACAGGACTCGAAGGGGAAGAACTCGGGGTGCCAGCGAGCGTCACGGACGAGATGTCAGACGCGCTGTTGCTGTGTGTCGTGCTTCGCGCTCTTTTCCATGACACGTAGTTTCGTCGGTGCTCGAATCGTTTCCCTTCTGCATATGACGTCCACTGCCGTTGTAATTCATGGCGTCGCTCTGACTGGACAGTGGGGATGGCTACATTGTAGTTCTAGGAAGCAGCCATGTGGTCAGAGAACTGGGGATCATTGCATCCTTCCAAGAGCTGCATACCGGTGGATCCCGCTGGAGTGCGGCATGGTATGGAGGAGGTGGTGACAAGAGGGTGGGATATTCGGGCTCTGGACCGTCATCGTCGCTGTCCTCGTCCATGGGGTCGGCGAAAGTACTAATGTGGACATTTTCGGTGTACGGCGTATAACTAGGAAGAGGCTCGTCCGCCATCGGCCGCTTCTATTTTTTTTCAGGGTAACAATGTTGATATTCTGCCAAGATCGATGTCGTCGATTCGACCCGCGTCTTCCATCTGGCACTGTTCTTTACAGCCTAGCCTCAATGAATGACACTATCACTGGCGGCAACCTTCTCTCGACTGGTCCGTCAACTGTCCATGCTCTGCTCTTTCTGTCGCCAGCTACTCAATCGCGTAGGGGCTAGGTTACCGCGGCGTTCCTGAAATGACGGAGGACCCGCTCCATCTCGGATGTCCGCAGATGGACAAGACAGCGGCAATCCCCTGGCTGCTAGGAGTTCTGTCAGCTAAACATACCGAAATTGGCGCCACGACTCGTGTTGCCGGCCATTGTGGAGAGAGAGGCTGACCCATGGTCGATCGTTCCGTGCCACAGAGCTTAAGACCTCTACAACGCCCCAGCGGATGCTTTCATTGCCGACACCATTTCTCGTATGCTCGTTGACCTGATCTTACCACCTGATTGGGGAAGCAATAACATCGCCACATCCGAGAGCTTTCAGTCAATCCCGTAAGGCAGAGAACCAGGTTCCTTTCTCGTAACAATTGGTCATTCGGAGCCATGGTATGTGTTGACCGTGCAGCTGACTTAAACGGGTGTATAAGATTCATCATTCTGGTGTTCGTTATGTACATTACATCACAGCATACCTAGCGTTATGTCATTGAGAAATGGCCGCCACATCGTCACTCCAGCGCTGGCTTTATTGCTCGTCTTGTCCTCAATGGCTGTTCTCGATTTCATCCTCGCCATCGCCCTCGCTCTCTTCGACCACGACGACAACATACCGCCGCGAAGTTGCTTCGGGAAATTCGGGTCCATTCTCCCCACTGTCCTCCGTCACTGAGACAGCGTGGTCGTCTGTGCTGTTCGATACTATTTGTGTGGTTCCGTCCAGAGCGTTGATCGCAACAGTGTGGTGCCGATGGCGTGCCAACAACTCTGGTGGCGCTGTGCCCTCGGCGAACACCACAACATGACGCTTCGGCCTCTCATTGCCAGACACAACTGACCGCTCTTCGTCAATAACGTACCGACTTCCCGCGGCTAATAGAGGATCAGTTGTGGGCGCGTGTGGGGCCTCTCTCATCACATAGCGACGCTCAGGGTTGGCTGTGCCACTGTTTTCCCTTGTTGGCGGCTGACTTGGTCCAGATCCTTCCAGACTGTCCTCAAGAGCAGCCTGGAAACGAACGTGACGAGGTGGCGCAGATTCAACGCTACCCAGTCCACTTGTGGTTGTAACTGAGACATTATCGACACTGAAGTGTCGGCGATGGCTGCGATTCTTACGATTGCTGGGAGAGCCTGGTGTATCAGCAAAAGGCTTGCTCTTTTGGCTTCGGCTTGATCCAACTTGCGCTTGAGCATGATGCCCGCGGTCGTTGGCTAGAAGAGGAGCTGCCTCTTCGTCCGTGGCAGGCTGTGAGCGATGCCGGCCAGAATCTGTGTCAGAACTACCGGACCAGCCTTGTACGAAGATGACGCTCAGTATACCAGTAGACGCAGCGACCAGGGCCAAGGACTGCACCAGAACCTGGAAGCCCCAAACCCAAGTGATGGCACCAGCAAACAGAGGCCCGACCAAACTTCCCCAAGCAGCCGCGATATTTGGAAGACTAGATGCTTGGGCAACCGCACTTGATGGGTCGTTAATCGATGAAGGTCCTACAACGTTTGTGATCTCCTCGATCAAAGGATCGCCGCAAAGTCCCGTGGCGAAAGATATAGCAGCCAGAGTCAACAGCAATGGGTTCGTGAAAATGCCATGGCTGTCCTCTGTGGTTTGTCCTGTGGCCGAGACAAGTGACAGAATACCGGGAACCGAAGCCAAAAACCCAATGGCGGTCAACCAACGAGCCGATCCGGAAACGCGAGCAGTAAAGGCGCCGGTCAGAACGCCAACCAACACAGCCGGAGCCGACAACCACACAAACATCAGTCCAACACTTAACTCGCTCCACCCAAATTTGCGGATAATTCGAAGAGGGAGGACGGTTGCGAAAGCGGTTGTCAGGAGGTTGAGTACAAAATAGCCATACACTGCCACCAAAAGGCGGAGGCTCCACGTGGATGGTTCTGTTACGATTGTAGAGGTGCTACTTCTGCTCGATCGTACGGATGATACCGAAAGCGGAGACCTTGATCGTTCTGAGTGTCTTCTATTGCGAAGAGCAGATCGGAGGGGC